TCAGGAAGAAGGCAACTTCATGAGGACATGTCATTTAAAATTATTACAACTGGAGCCTTTCACAATTAGGTCGGGATCTTAGCAAGGGTTATTCAAAGGTTTATGTGTTCAAGCTGTCCAAACCTGAACTTATACTTAATAATTAATAACGAATCAATACATGCTATTAAATGGTATTTAAAACTTATTATATACAAGGCAATCAATAAGCAGCTGACAATTTATAGTGGATTTAGGACAAAGAATATTTGAGGGAAGCAATCAGGTAAGAAGCAGTAAATAATCTACAGAGAATTTAATACATTCACTTCAGTGAGAGAAAAACAAAGACCGAGTTCAAAAAAAGCTGGTTAACTTTATTGAAGCATACACAGAGTTCAGCTATAGCTGCAGAAAGCAATAAATAAATAAATATGTAATGTTAAAACTCCTTGCTGCAGCAACTTAGGAGAAAAGGTTTCCAATTTCTTGTCATTCAAATAAGGTGAAAGATTTTAACATTCCTGCCCACATGCACATCTCCTTTGAGGAAGTTATGGGACACAGCTTAACTTGGCAAAGAAGAAAAAGGTTGCCATCTTGGTAAATAAAGTGGGAAAGGATTTCTGGTTAAGAAGCAGGACACAGTACTTTTCTTTTGCTGCACTGGAATATATTTTCTGGCTTGTGATAAAGATATTTTCGCTTCTTTCAGATTAAAAAGGAAATAAAACTAAGAAAAAGAGTTGTTTAACTGAAAAAGAATTTCTCCTCTATCTTGAATACTATATTTGAGAAACATTTTTACACTTTTCTTGGGCAATTTAGCAAATTAAAATAAACCAAAACCAACTTCTCATATAGGGTTTGAAAAAAATAAACATTAAATGTCAAGGCAAAAGCGGGGGGAATGTTTTTCCCCCTTCCCTTCTTTTACCTGGGCTGAAAGGAACGGAAAAAGATGGAGATTTTTTAGAATAATGATTGGTGAGAGGCAGGATGATCCCAAACAAATGGAACTGTTTGATCAACAGCAGCTGGAGATGATCAATTGAACCACTGGGTTATCAATCATCTAATGCAGGGGTGTCAAACTCAATTTCATTGAGGGCCACATCAGAGTTGCGTTTGACCTCAGGGAGGCGTAGCCAGGGGGCGTGGCCAGCTCGACATCACTTGTGTTGGGGTGCCTGTGATGGCCTGAGTGCTCTGCTAGCAAAAACACTCCTAAGCTCCATTTTCAGTTGTGACGGCTTCCTGCAACCCTCTGCCAGTGAAAATGGAGCTTGGGAGGGCTGCGGGCTGGGCATTCACTGTTTCCAGGTCAGTCCCACAGTCCAGATCTAAACACCCTGCAGGCCAGATCCGGCCTGCGGGCCTTGAGTTTGACATCCCTGATCTAATGTCTGTTTTCTTTAATATTTGACATGAGAACCTTGTAGCTATCTAGATAGTTACAGATGTTACTTAGTAACTAAAGGTAGTTCTTTAGCCGCAATTAGTACTGTTGATAAGCAAGGCAGTTATTAAGTGAGTCATGCCTAATTTTACGACCTTTGGTACCACTTTGAGTGATCACTAAACAAATGATTGTAAGTTGAGGATTTCCTGTAGTGCAGCTTTTGCCCTTTAAGCATATCTTGAAACAGATGAATGTCATTCAAAAGGTAGGGGGAAAAACTTTCAGGAAAGCAGGTGAGGGCAGAGGCTGGGAGTCCTTGCCAAAGCTTTGTATTTTTGCCAAGCAAGATGGAGCCTCTCTTTTAAATTGCTGTCTATCTTTATCCAAATCTTCCTGTCAAATTCCCTTTCTAAAAATTTCTCTCTACAACAGAGAGCTAATGCTGTACCCAAGAAGTAGTTTTCAGCAAGACCTCATTAGTTTGGCCATCATTGTCTCCATTCCTATTGCTTTCATTTTTTTTTCTTGCTGTAGGAAAGGAAGAGAAGGAAAAGTAATTGAGGGTAGATAGAAAGTAACATGCATCAGATTGGGACTATTAGAGGAATATTGGAAGGATTATAAAATATCTTTAGAACAAGATTAAAAATGAATCTAAAATTACAAAAACACAAGCAAAAAGCATATGTTTAAAAGGCATATGATGGAAGATGCAGGGATATACATAATATATAATGGAGTCCAGTGGCATCAGCTTTGGTTAAAAACTTATTCTGGGAAAGAACAAAGTTTAGGCAGAAAATGTGGGTATTTGTTTAATACCTTATTTAATGCATGCAAATATCCTTCTGTGAACCTTCCACTGTCCTTTATTACTGTAATTCAACAATCAGCTATGCAAATAGGGAGATGAGCCAGTATTTAAACAGACTTGGTGAGAAAATTCAAATTTCCTCTCATTTTATTTCTGGCATGGCCATAGTCAAACCCACAGCTGAGCTAAAGAGAACAAATAATCTTTGTGCTATAGTTAGATGAATGTGAGGATAAATGCAAAAAGAAGCCCATCTTGTCACTAAACGCAATGTTTAAATGTACAATATTTATTTCTTAGTAATATATCTTGTGTTTCATTCAGGAGTTTGAGGCAGCATATATAATGTTCCCTCATCTTGTTCTCAACAACAACCAGTGAGGTAGGATGGGCTAAGAAAGAGTGGATAGCCTGGAACTTCAGTGATGTATATAATGGAGGCAGAAGGGGACAAGGGCACAGTAGATTTGGCTCAATTGTGGTGGCAATGTGTAGCTTTGCCCCAGATACCATTGCTGAAAGATTAAAAATAAGATGCTGTCAATGACAGTTTCCCTTGTAATATTTCCCCCTGGATTGCTGGTTGGAATGGGGCAAACAATATACACCGCCCACTTCACAATATTGGATCGGGCAGGGGGAAGGGAGATTCGTTTTTTCTTTTAGAAACGCCACGATAAGATTATTCCACCAGGCCTCGCTTCACCCAATGCCCCCAAACAACCTTAAGCAACTGGATCTCTCGCAGTTGGGGCATCGCAAACGAATGGGCGGCGGGTGGGGAGGGGGCGTGAGAGTCGATGGGGGCGAGGGCGGGGGAGGTGGTGGAAATCTGGGGTGACTCTGGAGGATGGGTTGATGGGAGATAGACAAGCGCTCCGCTGATCCAGTAAGAAGCGCCGGGAAAGCAATGCGGTGGAAGGCCAAGCTGTGGTGGGACTCGGGGGCTATTATTGGAAAACTGCTCTTCTCCCTCCCGCGCTGTTCCACCGAGGCTTCCCCCTCCCCGCATCACAAACCCAGCCTCCGGAGCCAGAGAGGAAAGATCGGGCTGGGTAACAACAATGCGAGGGGCTCGGGCGGGGGATTTGATCTGAAGTAACTTGCCCCGGCGGCTGCCGCCCAGGGAGCCTTGATTGACGTAGACCTGCTGGAAGCGGCGCATCCATCACCCAGGCTGAGCCACAGCAGAAGTCACCGGCCGCTCCTGCAGGATACACAAAGGCGGGCGGGTAGCGGAGAGGTTCTCGGCTACCGCCGTCCGCCCAGCTTCACCTTTCCTCTGGCAAGTAGCTCTGCAACCCCCCCCCCCGCCACTCCCGCCCCAGAAGAGACCGGCGAGGAGGACGCGCCGCCTCCACGCCCTGATGCCTGGACCACCATTGCAAGAAGGGGGACAGGGGAGCGGACGGGAGGGAAGAGGGGAGCCCTGAGCCCACAGGCCCGTCCTTGATCGATCGGCTGCTCCTTTCTGACCGCCGCTGCCTCTTCTGCCTCCCATCCGAAAGGAGTTTGTGCCTCGGCTGATGGATGCCGGAAGGTGCCGCATTGCCTGGTGTATGTTTGTTGGCTGCTAGGCTGGTAGGCATTACTTGGCTGTTCCTTTTTGTCTCTGAATGCCTTTCTTCCGGCGGATGGCTGGGATCCCTGCCAGGCGACCAGACCTGCTCCGTCAGTGACTGAAAAAGGACCCAGATTTCACCCCCGGCTTCTTTCCCGCCCCTCTTTTCTAGAAGCGACGGAGAGGGACAGACGGCAGCTTTGCTGGTACTAGATGAGGTCACTGTGTAAGTGGACAAGGGGCTGGAAAGACGTGGTAGAGAGGAATCCATCCCTTGCTCCAGAGAAGAAAAAGCTGCGGCGGGGGGCGGGGGTGTTTATTTGAAGAAGCATCTAATTGATTAAAAACAATAATCCAACTTATCCAGCTGATCAACACATGCCTTTTGAACCCTACCACCATTGATTTTTAAATGCTATACTGGAATGGCTCAGAGAGAGTGAGGGAAGAAGGGGGGGGGGGGGAACCACCTTTAAGGAAAGCTCGGAATTAGATCGCATTTATTGAAATTGCAGTTCTTTCGCTATTTCAGCAGCACCAAGGTGAAGATCTCTAATTTGCAGATAGAAGTGGGTGGAAAATATTAGAGTGTGCCTGTGGTGGAGGAATTAATTACCTCAACCTCTTTCTGTACTCCAGGCAAAGTCACTGTAGGGCTGTTTGGCCTTGTTCTCGCTGGCATCATAATGCTGATCTGTATCTGCTGATCAAGGGATTTTTTTTTAGTGGGGGGTGTTGTTGTTTTTGCTCACCCGATTGTTTAAACCACTACTGAATGGGAAGGAGGACACTCCATTCTCTCTACTTGGGCCCTGTCAGAGCCATTATTTCTAGTCATCAACAGGCAATTGCTGCAGAAGGAGAGTAATTGGGTTCAATTATATGTGAGTTACAGTTTTGCTGCAGCTTCAAGCTGTGGACAGGTGTTGGAAGGGTGATATGGGCCTGAGAAAGGAGAGCACAGCAACAGTATAGTGTGTGTGTGTGTGTGTGTGTGTGTGTGTGTGTAGTTAATTGAGAGATGGAAAGGGTAGATTGGAATTGAGGTGCACATATTAATTGAACCATATTAGGCATTAGTATTGGAGAGATTGGTAGCAAAGAATTACCTAACTTGTTGGATACTAGAAATGGAAGGGAGGGTTTCATAAATCAAAACAAGAGACCGAATTTCAGGTGTTGTGGCAATTCAGCAGTTCCACCCCTTCTTCTGTACTAGAACTATTATCAGACGAAGTGGCACAATGACTCATTTGCAGGCAGGTCTGTCTCCAGAGACCCTGGAAAAGGCCCGATTGGAACTGAACGAGAACCCAGACACCTTGCACCAAGACATCCAAGAAGTTCGGGACATGGTGATCACCCGACCGGACATTGGCTTTCTTCGTACAGACGATGCCTTTATTCTTCGCTTCTTGCGGGCCAGAAAATTCCAGCATTTTGAAGCATTTCGCTTGTTGGCTCAATATTTTGAGTATCGTCAACAGAACCTCGATATGTTCAAGAGCTTCAAAGCCACTGATCCAGGCATCAAGCAAGCACTCAAGGATGGTTTCCCAGGAGGGTTGGCCAACCTTGATCATTATGGCAGGAAGATCCTGGTGCTCTTTGCTGCCAACTGGGACCAAAGCAGGTAAAGATTTTTAACTCATGGGGGGAAGGTGGGGTAGGCTAAGATGTACATAGTGCTACAGTGTATATGTTTGACATCATCATAATGGGTTCAAATCCCCTTTGATCTCAGTGATATTTCATTCCAAACTTATGATAGGAACGGCATAAGAACCCTTATTTTATTCTAATGTGTGGCAGCCAAACTGCTATTTTTGTAACCTAGATTAATTAAAAAAACTCCCCAAACTTGAAATTCTGTGATGGCAAAAAAAAAAAAAAAAAATATGTGCACAGATCAGGTGTGCCTGTGGAGCTTCGACCATAAGATGATGGTGAAAACAATGAATGAAAACTGATTTTAATAGAATCTTTCATCTACCGTGTTTCTCATATAATAAGGCCGGGTCTTTTTTTTTTTTTGAGCCCCGAAAAAATGGCTAGGCCGTCTTTTCAGGGGTGACTTAATTCCCCCCCCTTGCATCTTCAGGCAGGCGGGCAGCGATGGCTTGGATGTTGACCTCGGCGTTGGTGGGGCACTTCGTATTGGGGTCAATGAAGGCAGAACCATATCCAGGTGTGCAACAAAAGAACTTCCTAATGGCAAGGCCCCCCCACCATTCCCCCCCCATTTCGCATGTTTTAATATAGGCCTTAATTTGGGGGGAGGGGCTTAATTTCATTTTATGCCTATAAAACATGCTAGGACTTCCTATTGGGGGAGGCCATATTGTTGGAGAAACAGGGTATAACTTTTTTGTGGGGGAAGAGTGGTTTCTCATCAGGGACTAGTGAGAAGTTCATTCTCAATTACTCAGTTACACTTTCCTGGGACCTGAACAGCAGGTGCTAATGCAATTAGCAATTTGTCCCCTGACCCGATTTGCCAACCTATTCAAAATCTTTCTAACTTGCCCTAGATCTAACTGATTCCAGACTAACAGACAACAACAACAGTAACAAAATATTGAAACAAAAGCACAAGTATAAAAAATAATGGCAATGGAAAATTAAAAGACAACCAAGGATAAAGTTGCCACGCAATCTAAGACAGTGGACAACAATCCTTGAAACTTAATTTTAATTTGAAATTGTAATGCTGGTGCCAGTTGGGTACCTCTGAGAAGTTCATTCTTGAATTATTCATTTCTTGATGTTATCATACTTAGAACTGCCCATCTCCTTTTATTTTAACAATAAAACAGTTAAAAATAAGAATGAAATAATTAAAATTCAAAAGGGAAGGGAAGGACTTCAGAGTGTTAACCAGCCCCATGGCTGTATGCTCCTCTGTTATCCCCAAGCGAGTTGGCAGAACATTTTCAAAAGGCCAAGAGAGTGAGGGTCCCACCTCATTTCTAGGGGGAAGAATGTTCCAACGGGCTGGGGCAATGGCAGAGAAGGCTTTATTCCTGCCAGTTGAAATTTTTTAACTGGTGGGATTTGTAACCTCTATCTTCCCTTCCTGGCTGAATGGAACAGTCCAATGTAATGGGCCAAGGATGACTTGTCAGGTGATCTGGCCTGTAGGGCTTTAAAGATCATTACCAACATCTTTAATTGGATTTGGAAGCAAACTGGCACCCAAATGCAGCTTGCACAGCAGAGGTGTTACATGCACCATCCTTGGGACACCCAACATTGCTAATGTGGCCGTAATCTGTACCAACTAAAGTCTCCAGGTAATTTTCAAGGGAAGACCCATGTAGACCTTGTCAGTATATTCATGAACTGGAATAGAGCTTGGTAACAAGGTTAGCCAATGAATAGGCATAGCAACTAAGTCAGCCAATGAGGATTGTTTTTGGAAACTGAAATTAGAAGTAGCCTAGGCTGGAAACTGAAACTAAAAGTAGCCTAGGCATGGTTCTATATTAAGCTCTGCAACTCTGCAGCTATGTTGGATCTCTGAGTCTGTCTATTGAAGATGAAACTAACTAGCTTGCTTGCTGAAGACTGAAGCTGTGCTCTGAACTTGCAACATGTTTCTGTTTGAGTTTGCTCCATGTTGGAGAAATCTACAACTGGTTTGTAAAATCTTATTATGTTGATAAAGACGTTAAATGAAGCATCAGCCACCTGTGTTTATTTTTCTGGTGCTGAATTATCGCTGCAAAACTCTCAATAGACCTCATTGCAGTATTCCAGATGGGAATTAATCAGGGTGTGAGTGACAGAGCAAAGGACCTGCTTATAGAGAAAGGGCCATAATGGATTCACAAGGTGCAGTTGTGTCCTTCAAGCCACAACGTGCCACCTACCCTTCAAACAAGAGCTGTGAGTCCAGGAGGACCCTCAGATTATGCACCAGGTCTGCCTGGGCAGTGTAATCCCATCTAAAACCAAAAATAATAAAATCCCAGGTGTAGAGGGGCTCCTCAGTCAATCAATCAATCTCCTCAATCAATACAGCCACTCCATCTTATCAGGGTTCTGCAGAAGTCTCTGGTTCCCTCTTCAGGCTTCCACAGCTTCCAGGTATCCCAATTTAGGCCTGGGCCATTGAGGCAAGAACAATGTGAGACAAATAATGCTTTGACAATGTTGTTACCCATGTTGTTCCTTTTCTACTTTTCTAAATGAACTAGGTTTCCCAATGTTTAGCAACACCTATAAAATTTAAAGGAAAATTTACATTTCTTCTTTCTTGGCAATTCAGTATCAGCTTCTTTACCAGAAATAATAACATTATTATACAAGGATTTATCTATGAAGCAGATAAGTGACAAAATTTCTATTAATTTTAATGTCTCTCCAATTTATCCCAGCAACATGATGCATTTTGTGAATGTCACAAAGCCTAAAGTCTGTCCAACTTTGACTTAAAGAGTTCTGATTCATGAAGACTTTTATGCTATCCTATCCTCACTTCTCATTGATATATTTTACTTTACTTTCATTTATACTTCCTTGAAGGAGTTCAAGGCAGTATACATGGTTCTCTTCCTCTTTTATCTTTTACAATAGTCTCTTGAAGTAAGTAAGCACTTAAGGTTGGCTCAAGGTAGCTTGCTATTTGAAATGAAATGGTAAATGTCATGTTTTCCCTCTCCCCCACTGCCTCCCCTTCAAGGACCACAATACGCCAGAATGATTGAGTTAATTGGGCATTTGTGGGCCATAATGATTGTTTCTTTCTTCTGAGAGGTCAATACTGTACAATCATAATGAATTAAATGCAGTAACTAACAAACAATATGCTGTCTTTCCTATCAAAAAAGTCATTACCTGAAAGGATTGCCTGGAGTACCTATAGTAGATATAGAGTCTGTCTTGGAAGACTGAAAGAAAATGAATGCCTCATTTACGGGTTTCATTATTGGATAGAGAAGAAGGAAAGTTGCAATGATGTAAGCAGTGTATTGAGATAACCCACCCCTTTTGGACAGTATTGTGATGTCACATGCACAGACAGTAGGGTTGGAACTTATGCCACAATGCCATGATGTTGCTTTCATCATTCTGACACCTCTTGGCCTCATATCCAGGAAAGAAATTTTCATCATTCTAATGAAAACATCAAGCTCCAGTGGGTATGGGTGTGATTGGAACAGATTTGAAACCAGGGCATTCTAGACTGATCCTATAGTGTTTACATTGCTCAAATTAAAATTTCTACGGTATCTGCACACAATCCAGATGCTTCTTTATAGAACAGGTTTTTTTTTTCTTTTGACCATGTCTCACTTTATATAGCATGGCTTCTGGGTGGCCTGAAGAGTATATGTTCAGAAATAGGATTCCTCTGAAGTCCACTGAAGTTGGAATCAGAATTAATTACCCAGAGTAATGCCCAACTTCAGATGCTGCAATTCCTACATGGGACCTTTGTAGCAGTATAAAAATAACTGTTGAATTGAACTTTTTCTTGATGTCATTGTTTTGCTCAGTGGAATATGATTAGGCTGCTTATTATATGAATGACAAGAAACCACTGCTGACAGTTTGCACGCGTGTTGCAGCCACTTTTGTACTTTTGATCTAATTTCTTGAAAAAAGAAGAACTGTGTCTCAGAGGCACAGGGTCTGCCAATGGAGTATCTTAAAAATATTTATGTGCTATCAAATTGGTGTAGACTCTTAGCTGAACACATGGATCATCCATTATGATCTGTCCCTGACCTGATCTTTCATATCTTCCAATGACGTACACATTGCAACTGTAACTACCTCAAAATATATTGATGCATTCCCAATAAAACAGTCTGCTAAAACGTGAGCAAGAGAAAGCTGAAGGATTAAAGCAGGGGTTGCCAACCTTTTGGACCTCAGGGACCACCAAACTCATAATTTTAAATCCTGTGGACCAGAGACCCTGGGAAAACCCCCAAAAAAGTCTGCAGGAAAATTCCCCACTCCATTTTCCTACCGATCGATCATTCTTTAATTGGGATCTCAGGATACTGTCTCCAGCTCCATTCTCAGAGGGGGAGAGAGAGACTTTGGGCTTCATGTAAGGAAAGCAGCAGAAACAGTTGCTTTCCTTTCTCTCCCCCAAACTCCACCAGAAATGAGTCTTTGTGAAACTTGTCGCACCGGTGCAGCCTCTTGGAGCAGGAAGCCTTGCAGGGTCCCAAAGACTCATTTCTGGCAGAGTTTGGGGGAGAGAAAGAAAGACTTTTGCTGCTTTCCTTGTGTGCAGCCAAAAGCAGAAGAAGAAAGAAGTGGAAAGAAGCAGCCCGGTGGCCAGGTGAGGTGCGTGGGGTGAGTGGGGCAAGTTCTCCCCCTCCGCCCTTTCCCCCCTTTGCTCACTACCTCGTGTTGTTTGCAATGCAAGCGACGCAAGCCTTGTGTTCCCACGCAGCCTGGATTAATTGCTTTGGGGAGTGCTTTGGGGGTGACATTTCTCTGCAGACCACTAAAATTTTCTCACGGACCACCAGTGTCCCCAGGTCACTGGTTGGCGACCACTGCTTTAGAAGACAGAAGGAAAAAGAAAAAGAAAAGAAAACAAACAAAATTCATAACAGGGAACTCAACTATCCACTCCATGCAATGTCATTAGACTTCTGTAATCCTGAC